AACGAACTGCGAGTTCATGAATGACAAGTTCAAAACTCATAAACTTCAAATTGTGTTCTGCCTCTGCTAACTCGTGACGCTAATGATCTTTTTTTTTTTTTTTTTTGTGGGAAATATAGAACACAGAGATGCATGTAATTCCAGGAGATCCAATGGCAATGATCACAGCACACGCAAGGGGTGCAGGCAATGTTGACAGTGGATATTCATTTGTTCATTGTATGATAACTGGAACAGGAAAAACAGCATTTTTAGGAAGGGCATGGAAGCCTTTCTCTAGGGTTGTTTACTCCTACACTGATATGAGTGACGTTGTTCACCCTGAAGGTTGGTCTGATAATGGCAAAAGCGATTACGACAGGTTAGTCGTCAGTGTATAAAAGTCAAACTCTTTTCGACCGTTGATTTTGCTTGCATTCCTTAAAATATCACGAATAAAAAAAAAACAATGTTCCTAAATATATATAGTAAGTTCAATGGTGATAAATAAAAAATTTAAAAAAATGGTCATAAATATAAGTTGCTCTTTTATCATGTGATTGGTCTCATACAAGAAAAGGGTATAAATATAATACTATTTTTTATCATGTGATCGGTTCCATACAAGAACTTTATGGCCAATGAATCATCAGACACGGATACATAATTTAAAGTTTATAGGTTCCTGCAATACAATAATAACTGAGTTCTATAACGACTTTAAGTCAAATATTTACTATAAATGTTAGCGGGATTTCTTAATATATATATTTGATTTGAGCGAAAGTTATTAGTTTCCGTGAACCCATATGCTTTCATTTTCCATCTTTCTCCTCTACTATTTCTTTGTTTCTTTTATTTTTATTATTATGTATTAACACTATGAGATTTTCCCTGAGATTCCCTCTCTATCTCTTTCGATGTATCAGAACAGATCAGATTATATATCAATCGATTTGAAAATAGCACGCTCATCTCGCTTCTCGTATTTTTCAGGTCGGTGTTTTATGGGGAATATAACTGCAAAGGAGCAGGTGCAACTATGGAACGTAGGGTTGGATATGGGAAGAAGTTAACTGATGCAGAAGCAAAGCCTTTTATCACACTTGGCTATATCGAAGGCTCCAAATGGCTGCTTCCTCCTGTGGCACTGTGAATATTAGAAAACAAGAACTGAGAATTGTCCTAGCAATTTTGACCCTTTTACTTTTTTTTTTTTATTTCTATAATTTATCACTTTTTGATGTATCTCATCTCAAGTAATATGGGATTGAGGCGTTGTTGCTATTTTAAAATTTTGTGTAGCCGATTTCAACTAGTTTGAGATTGAAATTTAGCTGTTGTTCCCACTCAGTCAAGGTTTAGAAATAAAGATGAGTGTAGATGTTTCACAATTAGTTTGTTTGGATAGTTGTTATATGTTGTATTGTTATGTTAAATATAATGTTTGTTTTGATTGTTACTTAAAGTTTATTATATCGTATCGTTAAATCCGTCGTTACATAATGACGAAAAGTGTCACATTATGGAACGATCGATTTGGTGTGGTCGCGTCGTTACCTATTTTTTCTCACATCTTGTACTTCCTTATTATTAAATAATCATATTTTATTCTTACTCTACCGTTTTATATTATAATATTACCTCGTATCTTACTTTTTCTTTATAATGTTGGAAGTTTATTCTTCATGTTATTGTGCATGACATCATGAAACGGCGGCAAATAATACAATCTATACAAATATCGTATGCATCAAAACGGATACAATACTATACGATACATTATAAAAAGAGTACTAGTCCGGTACTATAGTATGATATTATTGATAAAAGGAGGAGTAATTTTTTAATAACTTATCCTAGAAATTTAGATTATATTTGGGTGCAAAGTTATAGCAATCTGCCTATTTATTATTTTTATTTGTAAAAAAAATTCCCAACGAACAAAGTCAAACCTCTCAAATAGAAACATATTCCAAGTTGCATTATAATGCTTCTCTCATGTTAAAATAGCTAATTCAATATATCAAGAATCAAATGAAAGCTTGTAGTGGGAAGACAAGTGTCATTTCAGGGATTTAGAGAATAAAGTTTCCAGAAATTTGGCTTTTGAATAGGACAGTCTTGCCTTTAAAGAAACAAGAAGAGAAAAAGAAAATTCTTATTCTTAATGCTGATTCATATAAAAATTGCAAGGAATAAACCTTTTTTAACATGAGCATAATATTTTTTTGACCACGTGTTTAATATTTTTATTAGTATCTAAGTACAATCAGATAATTGACTGATTTTTAGCTATATGATTTTGGGAATTTTCAAGAATAAGTTTGTATGTATATATTATACACATGTATATTTTTCTATCTTTCATTGTTCTTTTTTCTTCTTAATATAACAACGACTTTGTACTTCTAAAGCAAACGTTTAGGGGGATCAATCATTGAAATTTGAGCACGAAAAATTTAAAAACAATATTTATATGGATAATTCGTTGTAATTTCATCTCAAATTGGAGGGTCGTGCAAAATTTGTGACAGAAGAATAACACCATTATTATAAAATCGTCACAAATTAATGAATACCATCATAAAATAGTCACAAATCTATCAAAATTTTATGGCAAATATGTCTATCATAAATATTTTGTCACAAATATGAACTTTTTTTACTACAGCGAGGATTGTCACCATCATAAAATCATCACAAATCAATCAGAATCTTGTGACAGACGTGTCTATCATTAATATTCCGTCACAAATATGTATTTTTTACCATAGTGAGGATTGTCTTTGTGCTCTATCGTCTCTTTTTCAGATTTAATTTCAATGATATTTAGATCGTAGAACAAATATCACATTCTTTTAACTCACATAAATATTGGGTGACAAAAGAAATTTAAACGCATCTAGCACTAATGTTCATATCAAAAAGGGTAAAAAAATTATCCGCACTAGGACTAAACCATACTAACTTACCATGATTAAATGATGTTATGAGATAAAAATACGTAATAGTTAATCATAGTTTGGTGAAAAAGTTTATACGCATGTCATGCATCTATTTGTGGGATATATTAATATCGCTGTGAATAAATTTTTACTAAAAGAAAGGTCCAAGATACTTCCTTTTACTTTGTGCCCCAACTCTAATCATTTATAATTAATTAGCCTTAGCTAGGGGGCCATATTTGTGGTCGTGCCTAAAATGGAATCCTGTTCTAGCTAGTTATTAAAAGCTTATATTTTATAGTGGATTCTAGGGGGCATTTACGGCAAAAACTAGAATAATTACCACCATGAACAAGAAACTCAAAAACGAACTTTAGAACAAGTTTCTTATTATTATTATTATTATTTTTTCTAGTTTAGAATTTTGTTATGTACAAAGAGGAACTTTAAAATATTAATGTGTTCTTATTAGGGAAAAACAAGGAAACTTTACTTGATTCTCGTTGGAAAATGACTCATACTCATTCTATTATTAAGCTTTCCCTTGGATTTATATTTTATCACTTATCCTAATAAAACGTTGTGGAGAATCTTTTCCTTTTAATTTGTTGTCTTTCATTTTTTAACTGTTACAGGGAAGTCTAACTTTACTGCTGATACACTTGCTAACATTGGAATTGTGACTAAACTAGAGAGGTTTTTCACACAAACTATAGCTTTACCAAGGAAGACTAATGGTCTGTTTGGCCAAGTTTTTTTTTTTTTGGGCCAAAAGTACTTTTTTTTTTTTTTTGCGCCAAAAGCACTTTTGGCCAAAAATTAAGGTGTTTGGCCAAGCTTTTGGAAAGAAAAAAAGTATTTTTGAGGAAAAGCAGAAACAGTTTTTGAGAATCAAAAGAAGTAGTTTCTCTCCAAAAGCACTTTTGAGAAAAATACACTTAGAAGCAGTTTTCAAAAGCTTGGCCAAACACTAATCACTGCTCAAAAGTGCTTTTCAAATTAATTAATCAAACACAAACTGCTTCTCACCAAAAACAAGCTGATTTTAGAAGCTTGGCCAAACAGGCTATAAAGTTTCATTAAAGAAGGACCAAAGGGGAAATGTCCAGTTCAGAATCAAGACTAATAACTTGTTTGCCCGAGCCTCAAAAATCAGCTTATTTTGAGAAGTGCGTTTCTCAAAAGTATTTTTGGTGAGAAGCAGTTTGTATTTGGCAAATTAATTTGAAAATCAGTTCTGAGTAGCAATTAATATTTGGTCAAGCATTTACAAATTGCTTCTAAGTGTATTTTTCTCAAAAGTATTTTTCGAGATAAGCTATTTTTTTTTCCGCTTCTCCAAAACTACTTCAACTTCTAATACTCAAAAGTACTTTTTTCCTTCTAAAAGATTGGTCAAACTCTTCAACTTTGAATAAAAGCACTTTCTTTTTGGAAAAAATGTAATTGGCTTTGGAGAAGCTTTGCCAAACGGGCTATAAGAAGGGTCATTTCATTTATAGTAGGCGTTTGAATTGTGTTTAGACATGTATTTTACTTGAAACATATTATAATTATGTGAGAGGAAATAAAATTTTACATGAAAAAAATTTGGTAAATCACCTTCGAGAAAAACTTAAAAAATTGAAAAATTTTATATGGACAAACGGTCCATGATAGTGGTTAAGATTTGTTTCAGATCTTTTTTACATCTTCTTATCTTCCCATCAATATGTAATGTAAGAGAGGAGTCCTCTCCTACTTTAAACTTTACTTTTCTTCAAGCTTATACTAGAGTGAATTCATTCATTTTACGTGTAATTTTCGAGGCTAAGGTTTATGTATTCTTTTAGGTTTTTTTTTAGTAAGATAACGTCTCGTCAAACCCCACATTACCACAGGTCAGTATAGCCCGAGTGTTCGGCTTGAATAAAAAAAAAAGGAGGCAAGTGAATCTTCGCTTTTGGGCGGGCATGCAGTTGTCAATAACATAATTTAAAAGTTGCATTCACTTGTCTTTGAGGTGTTTGTTTTAGAAATTACTATAAATAGAAGCTACTTCCCAATAGACTCAACCAGAGAACAGAGTAGTCAATCATCCCCTGCTCTCTTTAGTCCTTCTTATAGGACTATATTTTAAGCTATATTTATCAAATTTCATTCTTCTTTTCGTTAAAAATGGACTGTACTAACTGCCATACATCCTTACAAATACCACATGGTGCTCAATCCATTCGCTGTGCCATCTGCCATGCAGTCAGTCGCATTGGCAGTCGGCTACAGCTACTAGCCAACAAGTACCATTATCCTCAACTCCCTTCGCCTTTTGGCCGAAAGAGAGCTGTGGTTATTGGTATTGCGTATAAAAATACTGATGATGAGCTTGAGGGTTGTATCAATGATGCCAAATGTATGAAATACTTGCTTGTCAATCGATTCAAGTTCCCTCAAGACTCCATTCTCATGCTAACTGGTAAAATATTCTTTCTCTCTCCTGATTAAGTACTCTCTTTGTCCCAATTTGTTCGATCCAGTTCAGATCTCGCGAGTCAAATGAGTTTTCCTTTGACAACGATTTTTTTTTTTTTATGTATTTTAAATTGTACCTTCATCGGATATTTATTAAGTAAATTTTCCAACATCCCAAGAATATTGCGGGTGAAATAGTTAAGCGGGCTCATGGGTCCACAACAAAGCATACACTACTGTCAATCCCACATCAATATAATAGGTAAAAATAGCGCGGGCTAACCAGTTTTCGGACTGGTCATTCAGAAATAGCCAGTGTTTGTAAAGTCGTTGAAAAATAGCCACTATTTTGCTGCAACACGGAAAGTTCCAGCATAATATACTTGAGATTGGTGCACCTGTGTATGAACTTCCAACATATTATGATGGAACTCCAACACGCGGAAAGTTCCAGTATAATATACTGGAGATTGGAGTACCGGTGCTCCAATCTCCAGTATATTATGCTGGACCAGTATATTATACTTGAACTCCAGTATATTATACTGGAGTTCGACTATATTCCAGTATAATATATTGGAGTTCCAGTACATTCCAGTATAATATACTGGAGTTCTAGTATATTATGCTGGAGTATTTTTTTGGATTTTGAACAATGTTTTCGTTCAGATTTATCTTTACATGAAAAGTGGCTAAATTTCGATTACATTTGAAACTGTGGCTATTTTTGAATGATCACTTGTAAATCTGGCTATTTTTGAATTCTCCATATAAGAAGTGATTCAGACCCAACAAAGAATCCAGTAGTTAAGCGGGTGAAATTCAAAAATAGTCATATTTACAAGTGGTAATTGAAAAATAGCTACAGTTTCAAAAGTAATCGAAATTTAGTTACTTTTTATGTAAAGATAAATCTGAACGAAAATACTGTTCAAAATCCAAAAAATATGCCAGCATAATATACTGGAGTTCGAATTTTTTACATGTGAACTTTGAGCATAATAGACTGAAGTTCTGGTATAATATATTGGAGTTCTAACATAATATACTGGTCCAGCATAATATGCTAGAAGTTCATATATATGTACTCCAATCTCCAGTATATTATGATGGAACTTTTCGTATGCTGGAGTTCCAGCATAATATGCTGGAAGTTCATACACAGGTGCATCAATCTCAAGTATATTATGCTGAAACTTTCCGTGTTGCAACAAATAGTGGCTATTTTTCAATGACTTTGCAAATGCTGGCTATTTTTTAATTACCAGTCCAAAAACTGGCTAGCCCGTGCTATTTTCACTAGTTAAGCGTACAAAACTAATAATAAAGTTAATGTTAAGTGCACATATAGGATTATTTCCAACAAAAATCTTATACGTGTGATATGTGTTTTCACATAAACTTCTATCGCTTAATTGTGATGATGACACGCTGCTGTGTTTCTAAGTTATTGAAACTTAGATGCTTTTAAGTTTCAATAAGAAAGTATATTTTGCAATATAATTAGTTATTCTCTAAGGTTTGTTATTTTTGGTATCTAAATGAGTCCTAACTTCAAATCTTCATTTCTTGGACGTATACTTACAGAAGAAGAAAGAGATAAAAAGAGGATACCAACTAAACATAATATAATGAAGGCAATATCCTGGCTTATGCAAGGAGTTAAAGCTGGAGATTCTCTGGTATTTCATTTTTCTGGTCATGGTTCACAGCAAGAGAATGACACTGGAGATGAAATTGATGGTTATGACGAAACACTTTGCCCCTTGGATTATGAAAAACAAGGAGAGATCGTTGAAGATGAACTAAATGCAATACTCGTCAAGCCTCTTCCTCCTGGTGCGAAGCTTCATGCCATAATAGATGCTTGTCACAGTGGCACTATGCTTGATTTGCCGTTCCTTTGTAGGACGAGCAGGTTTGTAAAACTTACGAATTTTTATTCCACTTAATGCTCAAATGTCTAGTATTTTTGTTAGGTATTTGTCCTGATTTTCTTACAATATTTGGTTTTCTTATCTTTTGAAAGAAAGGACAATAGGTTTACTAAACTGAGTTTTTTTTCCCCCCCTCATATTTGGCTACTCCTTTTTCTTAAAGGAAAAGTTTTGTACTTCTATAAATTGAGGATTCTTCCTTTTCATTCAGTAACATCCATAATGTAGTCCTTAAGGATTTTGGGAGTCTTGCTTCAAGGGAGATATTGTGAGATAGGTGTTATGCTGTCACTTCTATTTGCCTCTCTTATTCTCTCGATATTTTGTACTTTTTTTATATAGTGGATAGCTCTTCTCCGCCTGTAGACGTAGGTCAATTGACCTGTTTATGTCTGAAGGGCAGCCCAGTACACTAAACTCCTGCTATGCGCGGGGTCCGGGGAAGGGCCGCATGCACCACAAGGGTCTATCCTACGCAATCTTGCTTTACATTTCTGCTAGAGATTATTTTCACGGCTCGAAGCCGTGACCTCCTGGTCACATGGCAGCAACTTTATCAGTTATGCCAAGCGACCTGTTTGTGTGTCTTTTGGTATATTTCTCTTTTGTTGTCTAATTGATCGTAGTTCAAGGTATGCTTTACTACCTTCCACATGACACCTGATTATTTCGATCCTAATATGTTTTACTCTCCCTTCGCTTAGTTGATATAAGAGAGTTTTATGGATACAGAAATGGACGATATGTATGGAAAGATCATCGTCCTCCTTCAGGAGTATGGAAAGGAACAAATGGAGGAGAGGTTATATCCTTCAGTGGTTGCGACGATCATCAAAACTCTCAAGAAACAGAAGTAAAATTCTTTTTTTTTTTCCATCTTATTTTTTTATCTTTCTTTCAAATAAATAGAGTTAATCAACCTAAGCAAGCTAATTGAATGACTTATAATTGATAAACAGAACTTGTCCAAGGTTACTTCAACTGGTGCAATGACTTTTTCTTTCATACAAGCAATTGAACGTGGACAAGGAACAACTTATGGGAGTATTCTAAATGCAATGAGAACTTCAATCCGCAGATCTAACAGTGATTTAGGAGGCAAAATTGTCTCAACTCTTCTCACAATGTTAATAAATGGAGGAAGCCTTGGCAGTGGGAAAAGACAGGCAGCTTTAGTTTAAAAGTACTCCTTCCGTCTCAATATATGTGACGGTGTTTCAATTTCTAGAGTCAAATAATTTTTTATCATGATTTTTTCATATGCCTTTTAAAAATATTTGGATTGTTAGTTACTATGACTTGCCGAGGGTCTTCGGAAACAGCCTCTCTCAGAGGCGGATCCAGGATTTAGATTCTGTGGGTTCAACTTTTAAGGTTTTTAACATTGAACCAATTGTACTTTTAGATTATGGATTCAGAGCTACCATTTGTTGCAACTTTAATAAATTTATGTTTCGCGGCAAAAGTATTGGGTTAAGATAAACCGGCGGCCATACTGTACATCCGCACCTGGCCTCTCTACCTTCAGAAGGTAGGCATAAGGTTTGCATACACACTACCCTTGTCAGACCCCACTTGTGGGATTATGCTGGATATATAGTTGTTGTTGTAATTATTGTGACTTATAGTAATTTTTAGATAGTTTCCAAATATGTAAATTTTATTTCGAAAATAATTAACAATTTTGTGTTCGAATTCACGATCAAAATTAAAAAGTTTGACTCTCGAAATCCGAACCATGCCACATAAATAGGGACAGATGGAATATTATTTATAGAAATTGAATTGTTCTTCAAGTGGGATGAATAAATATTTTTACCTTTTGGTTGCAGGAGCCCCAGTTGACTGCTAATGAGCCATTTGATGTGTACACCAAGCCGTTTTCGTTATAGTAATATCTTAAGCAATTCTGGTTTTCATATAGTTTGTGTGCATAGATACTGATTGGAGTATAAATAAAGAGTATCTCTTTGTATTTTCAGCTTTAACATCTGGAGAATAGTCTTTGTTTCCTGTAAGTGGAAAGTTTCAAATCATGGCTCCGCATCTGAATAGAAATATCTACTGCAGTATTGCAAAACCTACTTTAACTAGAAACCGGAAAACCTATTTCTCATTACTGCAATTTAACAATATCACAGCAAACCTTGATGGTACATGCATGCATAAATAACACTCTCATACCCAAGAATCACACTCCCCATTACCCATCTTCTACCCCAAATTCGAAATGGAAAGCTAATATGTAAGAAAAGCTTAACACAAACATTTATTGAAAGTAGTGACTTAAAATAGGTTGACATACACGGGGGCGGAGATAGTGTATTGTTTACGGGTTCGGATGAGCCAGTAGGTTTGCTAAGACCCTGTTTTATATTAAAAGTCCATAAAATATGGATAAATATTTAATTGTGACCCAGTAAGTAAACGAGCTATGAATTCGATGGCAATTTCAGAACCCACAAATTTCAAATCCTGGCTCTGCCTCTGGTCTCTAAACATACACTTGAACAAGATAATATATCTGAGATCAGCTTATACAAAAGGCTGAAGATGATGGTGTTAGAGATATAGTAGATATGCCCTAGATCCAATATCATATTTGATGATTTGAACACATTTTTGTGAACATTATTTGATATAAAAATATATGGCATTCTTTTTATCATAGTTATTATTAATTGTTTGATTAATTTGATAAGGTCCTTGATTAAATTTTGAGATTTGTCATCGTGATAGAGATCATGATAATGAGAGCAAAGTCTCTTATAATTTAATCTGAAATTGTTCTTGATCGTAGGATTATTAATCTGGACATTAGTAATCCGGTTAGATCAATATTTATGTGATCGTCTTTATGGGATAAAGATTAGTTGATCTCATTAAGTAAATCACATAGATAGATGATGCATATAGAGATATGATCATTGAACCGACTCATTGGATAATTCCTAATGGTTAGAATTACCATAAACTGTCAATAGGATATTCTCTTGAAGAATGTGATGTAGAAGTTTCCTTTGACCTGAGATCGTCATAGTAATTGATAAGTTATTTGTTGTGCTTTAATACTAGACACCTATGGCCCTAGGACGATAGTTGAAAGGATATTGGGTACGATTGAATACTTGTAGAATTAGTGATTGATCAAGATGGAATCTGTCAACTCTTGGTAATGAGTTTAAGCTCCATGTTGTCATGAATTATAAACGACCAAATTAAGACCTTGGCCAGGGCAATTGAATGAAAGAAGAAAAGAGTTTCTTAGGTCATTCAATGGTCGATTATATTTGACATGAACATATAGTTGGTCGCCTATTAGGATTTGATAGTTGAACCATATCCTAGGGTGATCCAGAGCTATAAGGACAGAAGGAATTACTACATTATTCTTCTACTGGTTCTTGAGAGTAAATTGTATACTTCATGCTATCCGGTCGTTAAGGAGTGTTGCTAGACGTCACCCTTGATTAGTATATTGATGTGGTCAATTTACTACCGATTTAGTATTGAACCTATGGGGTCACACACTAACGAGTATTATGATCTTTGCTAAAGGATTAATTAATTTATTATTTGTTAATTAAATTAAAGAATTTAATTAGTCAAATAAATTTAGTTAGTTAGTCCAAATGAAATATTATTATATTCTTTGCTAGCACAGAGAATATAATTAATATTGTGAATAAATTAAAGTTTTCTATTTAGAATAGAAAATTAAAATATATCTCTTGGTTGAAATATATATATGTGATATATATAATTAATATTTACTTATATAAGGTATGCATGTAAAATATTAATGAAAGACTTTTAAATCATATCCAATTTAGAATTGGATCTTTACGTATTAAAGTCCATAAAGGACTAGCTGCCGCCGACGTGCATATCATCCCATTAGGAATGGGATAAGAATTTTCCAATGGAAAACTTTTTACGAAGTCTATTTTTGGAACTAGACTTGTACCCAAGGTAATTCACTACCTTAACCAATAGGAAAAAGGTTTAGTTGATGATATAAAAGGGGTCATGGAAAAGTTCCGTGGGTGGTTGATTGATAATACACTTTGTGAAAGTGTGTGATTAAAAACTAAGAGATATATCGCATTATTTGCTGGAGTTTTGAGTAAATTTCAGCATAAGTTCTTCGTTGAATTTGTTTGCGGATTTCATTGATCAAAGAGTTGATAGCAAGGACCGGTCTCGGTGTGGATACGCATAGAGTCTTCGCACTATCGAAGAAATTTTGAAACAAGACTTTCTTCACCAGGTACGTCTTAGATCCGATCTTTGACATGTAAATAAATTTTAAACACGAAAAAATCTGCCTAGGATTGTTATTATCTTCCGCTGCGTGTTACGAACACCTATACGCAATCCTTCTGATGGCATATCTATAGCAGTCAAATTAGTTAGAAAGATTTTATTAGTGCTTTATCTATGTAATAGTCCAAGTCTGTGTAGAATTCTAGGGGAAGCTCTGTATTCGATTGAAATACAAGAGATATACTGTGTAACATATAGAAATACAATGTTTTTCTAAAAAAGGATACCTAATCAAATAACGTAAAACAAACAGTGCGGGGATCTGATGAATGAAGTTAAAAGAGATGGGATCCATCTATTACTTATTGAAAATTAACTTTATTTAATTTACGTGATCAACTCACAATTTTGAAGATAAAACATTTGTGTAGTAGAAATTTTGGTTTATTTTATTTGATTGGCTAGCTCATATGAATCATTTGATTAATCAAATTAGACCTTTAAATTATTGTGAAAGACTAATTTTCCTTTAGATTATTGTAAATAGCTAATTGTGATAATTGGTTGAAACAAGTCAATTAAACATAAAACATTTAGAAGACTATAATTAGCTTTTGTTGGAACATTCGCACTATCACTTGTCTCATGGCATGTGTTAAAGGTTTTAGAATGAAGTAATAACTGGACCTTGGGCTTGAAAATGAGGTGGACTCATTTAAGAGAAATTTTTAGAAATCACTATGTTTTAGTGGTTATTAGTTAGTTGTAGCTACCATTTACTATATTACTTCCTATAGCTATGTTTTCAGATTTTTTAGAGTGTATTCGATGTATTTAAGCTACTGTATTCATGAATACAGTAGCATTTCTAGGCGTGAAACAGGGGATTACAGCTAGACATATTTTTGTATTCGAGTGTATTCGACTGTATTCATGGCGTGAAACATGGGATTACAACTGGACAAATTATTGTATTCGACTGTATTCACGGCGTGAAACAGGGGATTACACTGTTTTTAAACGGAAAGTGAATCAATTAACATAATAGACCCCTAATATAACTCAACAAACTCAATTATAACACACAAAATTTGTATTTCCATTTATAAAAAAGATCTCAACCGAAAAACACCCCAAAAACATAGCAATCTTCAGAGAAATTATATAATACATTTGAATACATAAATTATATTAATTAAAAAAAACATATGAATACATTCATGGAATATAGCGAGACAGTGAATACAACGAAATACATAAAATATAGCGGGATACATTGAAATACAATGAAAAAAAAAGACAATGAATACAACGAAATACATAGAATATAGCGAGATACATTGAAATACAATGAAAAAAAAGACAATGAAATACAGCGAGATACATTGAAATATATTAATAGAAAATTCAAGTTGCTCAGCCCCCAACTCCGTCGTCTTTGTTCAAGAATAACCCTAATGTCGTCTTATTGAAGCAGCATCAGTATCCAGTCCTCGCTCGTCGTCGCCGTTGCCTCTGGTTGCCGAAGATTAGCACGTAATTACCAGCAAAATATACAACACAAAATACCTGTTTGGTAGTAGATCTTGAAGCCAAAGGACTAATTGGGCAACTCCAATCTTGAACAGAAATAGAAGCTAATATTACTGCTAAAATTGCATGAATTGTTGAAACCAAACGGTTGAAAAAATCAAAAGAACGAGTTGGAAATAATTTTTGTAGTAGATCTTGAAGCCAAAGGACTAATTGCTCCAGTGACGGTGACGGTGACAATTTCCAGCGTCCGACGGAGGAGAAGACATCAGGAAGTAGAGAGAGAGGGAGAATAGATATGGGGTAGGGGATAGGAGAAATTTGAGGGGATATGAGAGAGAAAAATAATACAAAGCTTATTTTATGGCTTAAGGTTAGGAGGTGACCATAAATTTTGGCTATAAAAATCAAAAGATAGCTATGGAATATAATTTTTTAAAAGGGTATTTATTTAAAATAAATAAGGTATCAACCTTTGCTATAGGAGGTAACTAGTCCATATTTTAACCAAAGAGAAGTCAATTTTCATTTAAATTCACGTAATTTGATTTAAGAATTTGTTGACTTGCACAAATAGGATCATTTGGTGTCACCGTTTAAATTTTGACCCAATTAAAATTTTGAGAAAATAATTTCTACGTCAGAATTTTGAAGCACGCTCGTTACAATTTTTTGGGCAAGTATTATGGTGTTCGTCAGAATTTCCAAATCATCATATTTGGCCAAAATTTGGATGGTCGCCATAATTGATGTGCAAAAATCCTGATAAATCGTCATAATAGGCCAGTCGCCACAACTAATTTGCAAAAATGCTGGCAAATCATAATAGTTAACCACAAAATTCTGTCGGTCGCCATAACCTTTGGGTAAAAATTCACCATCATGTTTTGCCTCAAAATTGATCCGAATCAACGCCTAAATGACTCCAAATTTGATATACAACCTTCTTATATCAATTTCAACATTTACTACTAGTTAGATTCAAACTTTCAAAACTAATATACCTACTTTGTCTTTTTCAATAACTTTTTTTTTCAAGCTCAATATTGAAAAACCAACATGGTGTTTTTCAAAAAAAATCCAATCAAATCAATTTCAAATCTTTAAAGCTAGACAATATAAGTTCAATGGAATATTACCCACTCAATTT